TCAAGCCTTCGTGGACGTTGATATTATTACATTTCTTCTCAGCATTCGTCCCGTTCTGTTATTGCTTTTTCGAAAAATCAATGGGGAAACGTCCTTACATCAAAATATATTATACCCGCGATTCCAATCCAAATATTTAATCGTGATAACTCTACAAAATCATCGACTTCTGCTGTCGAGTTTAAACTTACTCACCCTCGCAAAAAAGCTCCTCCGTTACCTTCATTCGAGCCGCTAACTCCGTCGGCCGAGGAAGCTGTTACTAATATTCTATACAACACTCCCGCTCCTTTTCCAACCCCTCCGAAAAGACATGTTCTAAATTGTCTTGTACAGAATGAACCTGGTGTGCTTAGTAGAGTGAGCGGGATTCTTGCAGGAAGAGGGTTCAACATTGATTCATTAGTTGTGGCTAGGACCGAGGTTTCTGACTTAAGTAGAATGACTATCGTGTTACGTGGCCATGATGTGATCATCGAACAAGCAAGAAGACAGCTAGAAGACTTGGTAAGTATTTATTGTTTTGTATCATATGTCGAATTCTATTAATCGTATTTATTACCTTAAGGTTCCCGTATGGGCAGTGCTCGATTATACACAAACATCAATTGTCGAACGTGAACTATTGTTGGTTAAAGTATCCATCTTAGGACCGGAGCATTTACATGGGCAATTGATTGCTATTAAACATGATGAATATGACGATGAATTTATGCCAGAGGCAGACTTGGAATCTGAGGTATAATGCCATTCAAAATTTTATTTATATTTTTCCTATAAAATATATTTATTGGATTTTCAATTTTATCTATAGTCCCCCGATGCCACATCTGTACTACAAGATGACCCTATCGATAAGATTTCACCATTAACACCATCAGCGGCGTTACGGCAAAAGCATGCACATCTTCGCGCGATAATTGATCTTTGCAACCTTTTTAAAGCTCATGTAATTGATGTCGCAAGTGATAACGTTGTAGTCGAATTGACCGCTAAACCTACTAGACTTGACGCATTTATAAAATTGTTAAAACCTTTTGGTATTTTGGAATCTGCAAGAAGTGGTGAGTTGTAAAATAATTATGCCAATTTCATAGTATTTATTGTTATCATTCTTGGCTTTTGTGATTCATAAATCGACGCGTTACAGGTATGATGGCGCTTCCACGCACTCCGCTTGTGGATAAAAGAGCTGCTGCTATTGAAGAAGAAGAAGATGTTGGTGTGGATGCTACTATGCTACCACCTGGTTAAGTAATATTATTACACGATAAATGTGAAAAGACTATTACCAAACAATATGTTTAAAGAAACTTTGAATGTTACGTGCAACGCTTGAATATAACTTGTATATAACTTTTTAAATGAATGTTATTATTTATCTATTAAGAAAGAATTTTTGTTTATTGCTTGTAATATTTCTCTAAAAGAATGTATTATGTTGAATTTATCATGTGATAAACTGTTAATCTTATGCAAGACTTACGTTTTTGATACTCCTGCACTTGCTTTATTAATACGTTATCCTATTGGTTAGTTTTAGGTATGTTTATAGCAGTAAGATTTGTTAAACTTATAATTATCATCGGGTTTGTTACGTCATACGCAGCAATGAGTTCTGAATCTTCTGCAGTGGACAACGTTGATGATTCTATCTCGCAACTTCAACAGAGTTCACAAGAACAGTTCTCATATTATCAAACGTTTAAATATGATTTTTCGAAAACCACTTACGTCTTTATGCTCGACCAAGAATCTTTTTAACCAAACTGTTTCGCAAAGTCTACAAAAAGTGTGGTTCAACGCGAAACAAGAATTGGGTTATATACCCAATGGATCTGAAGGCAATTTTTTTAAAACAGCGAAATGGTATGTGCGTCGAAATTAAATGACTACATTTGCAAAAGAACATACGTGTCACTTATGTAAATAAAAATTTTAAAGGTCTCCTGACGGAACATGCATCCTAACTTCTTCTAATGATAATATATTGAGAGTATTTAACTTGTACGTATTGCCTCTATATGCTTTGGCAATGATTTATATTTACACTTTTTTGCATTCTTATAGGCCTTTTAACATATTTGATGCAAATGAAGGTGATTGTTTTTTCATTCATTAGTATTTTGGTAATAATCTTAATAAACTTAATATGATTGTCATTAATATTGCAGAACAAGACATGGAGCCGGCTATATACAGTCATTCGGGGGAATCTGTGTACGAATGTTGTTGGTACCCGCAAATGTCTAGTCAAGGTAATGAAGTATAGTCAAAGAAGAGATCTATTTTTCCATTTATTTCATGTGACTATACGCAGATCCGAGCACGTGTTTCTTCCTCGTGTCTAGCCGAGAACATCCAATTCATCTATGGGATGCGTATACCGGAAAGGTGAATAAAATCTATATTACCAAATTAATAAATTAGATCGTTAGGCAATTGCTAATTTCACCGGAAGGGAAGTTCACCAGGGTGCTATCTCTCAAAATTGTACTAGCTAATACACGTCAAGGATAAGGATGGGTTCGGTTACGAACGGTTACGATTATTCATAGCCAATTTGCTAAATACTGAGATGATTTTTTTTGAGCTATTAATTAAAGTGTTCAGAATTAAATTCTGTTCATCCCATTTTATAAGTGGAAAGAACGATGCCTTCCTGAGACTCGGAATTTCAAAATTTGCTATCGTCATAACCGGTTATTAGCCAGCGGTTAATAACTGGTTATGGCATTAACAAATTTTAAAATTCCGAGGCATCGTTCTTTCCACTTATAAAGATGGGATGAACAGAATTTAATTCTGAACAGCTTTAATTAATAGCTCAAAAAAAATCATCTCAGTATTTAGCAAATTGGCTATGAATAATTATCCCTAGTCAAGGGTACTAAGTAAAAATGTTTAGAGCCCCCAAAAATATTTTGCTAAATAAAATTAGGGTCATAATATCTAACCCTAAGCTTTGTCTAAAATTACACCCTAACCCTAAATTTTTAATAATAATTAAGGGAGGGATTCCCCGGTTAAATGTAGTTATTTTCTTAAATATATACTAAAAAAGTCAAATAAACATTATATTTATAGTTGAAATGTTCTTTTACTATTATCAATCATCGTGAACAAGTTATTGGACCAAATTCTTTAACATTCAACTTGGATGGTTCTAGGTAAGCAATATATAACATATTATAAAATTCTGATTGATGCTTCA